AGGTCGTGGTTCTAGGCAAATGGAATGGCGATATTCTATAAGCTTAACCACTTGTCTGAAAATATAAACAGTAAGATCTTTGTAAGAAATACAATGATTCAATCACCCTATAAGAAATGGGGGTGTGTTATTAAGGGTTTACTGTACCAATGGAGAGAGGATGGTGGAGAAAGCTGGGAAGAGCTGAGCTTTGGTGAGATCCCACCTAGAAGGATATTTGTGATTGAAAAGCTCTTGTCTCAGGTCACATTCCTTCAGCTGAGTAAGCGTGAGCTTGTGGATCTGACTAGGATTTTCTCATCTATGTGGCTCAGAGCCTTTACTACTTACCGGTGCTCTCATTCTGTTGCCTCATTTCTGACTTGGTTTATCTTCCCTCTGCCTTTGGATTGAACATAACTGCTGATTTGGCCCGAAGCAGACTTGGTCCTGGAGCATCCTGCTTCTTCCCTCCAGTCTGAAGTGCTGGACATCTCTCCCCTAATCCCTCCTGCCAGCTTTACCTCTCACGATGAGACCGATTTTCCACCTGTATTTCCCATTTGAAGTTCCATACAGTATATCCCCTATACTCAACCGGTTTTAGTTTGGCTTTCAACGGTTATGGTTCCACATAGTCAACTACAATCTAAAAATATTACATGGAAAATTCTAGAAATAAATTTTAAGATTTAAGTAGTGAACCATTAAGGATAAAACAATAAGATCTTTCACCATTTTGTTTCTTCACCCCTTTGTCTAGTGTATGCATATGGTATATGCTACTCATTCATTAACCTCTTAGTTATAGCAGCTACCAACTGCCATAGTATTACTGTTCTTATATTCAAGAAATTCTTATTTTACTTAAAAATGCTCTCTAAGAATGTGCATGGTAATGCTGAGTTTAGATATGCCAAGTGAAGCCATAAAGAATTGCCTTAAGTGAAAAGGTTAAAATTCTCAACTTAAGGACAGAAAAATATTGCATGCTTTGGTAGCTAAAGTCTACAGTAAGAACCAGTCTATCTGTGCTAGTTTTGCTGTCACACCCCAAACTGCAAAAGTTAGAGCTACAATGTATGATAGTACCTGGTTAAGACAGCAAAGTGTGAAATTTGTGGACATATGTACAGGAAAATCATAGCATAGGGCTTTGTACCTTCATGTTTCAGGGACGACTTCCTGGAACCCTGACACTTGTCCCCTGTGGATAAAAAGAACCACTATCTGAAGACACAGAGACAAAGTTTCCTTCAGGACACTTAAATGGTGGGTTGGCTACTTGTGGGGTCACCAGGGAGGACTTCCTACATCCCCTTCTAAGGACAGGGCATTGGGTACTGCATCTTCAGGAAGCAAGACCATGCCTTACAGCCTTGAAGATAATTGTTAGATCAGGGTCAATATGGAAACAGTAGAAGAATATTTTCTTGCACCCCATTCTACTCTTTTATTTGCTCTTCAGTTCCTCCCTTCAGTTGAGTATGCTCCCAGACAATTTATCAATTTGGTTATCTATTTACCCGCTATCTCTTGAGTAATTGTCCTGTTACAGGTGAAACACTAGGCAATGAAAACATACATTTTGTTATTCTGCCCTATGAGCATAATTGACTACTTATGAAGTGCCATGCATTGTGCTACTCACTGGAAACAAAAAGGCTAACTAGATGAAGTTCCTTCTGGCTGCATAGTAAGAATTCAATAAATGTTCTTTGAAAAAACTCACAGTCTAGTGAGGGCAAGCAGTCATATTTAGACAAGTGTAAGCAGTAGAAAGGGATGTCCTGGAACATCCATGGGAAGAGAACATGAGAGACTCAAAAGTCTCTCAGAGTCCAAGAGCAGTGAGATGAACTGGGCAGGTAAGAGGCAGACAAGGGTCTGAAGGCAGCAGGGGCCAAGTGCATGGGCCTGGAAAGGAGAGAGGGCATGAACAACAGAGGGTTACTGCTGAGAACACAAAATTAAATATCCTGGGTAATTGTAATTTCCCTGGCTGGGATGGAAGTGTTTATATGAAATAGTATATTAGAAGCCCAACTCAATTCAAAGGTACCCAATTTTAAACTGGGTTTTCCCAATTCTCTGAGGACCTGGGTACCTACATCCAGTTGGCAGAAGGGCATGAAATAGCATGCACCACTCCCACTCATAGCCCATTTGCAAGAGCAGTCACTAGAGTTCTCTTATCCACCAAAGGGGCTAAGGGAGAAGAGGTGTTTGGCGGCAGCTAGAACCCCAGCAAAGCTTCTAAGGGAGGGCAGCTGGAAAGGTGTGCAGACACCCATGGTGCCAGTTCATCCACAGCGACTGACAGAAGCAGCCTGGGCGGTTTGCGTGCAGATGGCTCTGGAGCCTGGGATGCCTCTGGTCTAAGTTACATGGGGGCAGCCTTACAAGATGCAAGGTCTTTTCTCCCAAAACAGTGTAGGAAAGTTACATGTTGAGTCTGAAAAAAGAGGTGTGATTTGAGCAGATTGTCACAAACCAGGAAGAACTGAAGGGCCTTTGGGGTTTCAGTGCACTGTCACTCTGAGCTATCTGACCTTAGACAGGCTCCTCTGTGTCTGGACTCACGTCCTGGGAGACTATCTTTTGAAGGTATATTTCCAGGCAAACATGAGAAACCTATAAAGAGAGAAAAGCAAATTATAGACTACTTATATTTTTTTCCCCAGAAGCCTATATTCTGTTTTCAACTCTGTCATATACAAAACCCTGGGAGAAAATGGAAAGACTCCTATAGCAAGGATCCAGGTTAGAGAGCTGAAAGATGAGCCTTCAAAGAGAAGGAAACGTGGGATTTGTGGCTACATGTGAAGGATGATTGAAGCATGGCTCTCTGTGTCCAGAATACTGCCCCCATTTAAAAACAGCCAGAAAGCGTTTTCTGAGCATTTACAATGTCAAATATATTCTCTTTAGATACACTTTCATTTTTAATTGACATAGTAATTGATATATCCCTAGGGTAGAGTGTGGGGTTTCAATGAATGTGTACAACATGATCAGGTCACTGGCATATCGTTATTTCAGAATGTTCAAAATTCTCTCTGATAGCTATTTTTAAATATTCAATAAATTGTCAACCAAAGTTGTCCTACTGCGTTTTAGAACATTAGATGTTATGCCTCCTCACAAACTGCACACTGGTACCCACTAACCATCATCTCTCCATTCCTCCCTCCCTCCCTTTTCCATTTTTCTATTTGTTACTTCTTTGAGCCCAACTATTTACTTTCCGTGTGTGCACGCAAGTGTATTTATATTTGTTTTTCCACACCTGGCTTATTTCCCTTAACATAACAGTTTCCATTCTATTCAAATTGCTGTAAAGGACAGAATAAAGGTGATGTGTATAAACATGTAAATGCATGTGTCTCTTCAATGTATGGATCTCATTTTCTTTGGATTTGTGCCCAGTAGTAGGACTTCTGGATCGTATGATAGGTTTTTGTTTGGTTGCTTAATGCTTACATTTTCTAACGTTCTAAATGTACCATTTATTTACATCTCTCTGAGTGTGTGTGAATGACAACTGAGGTACATGTACATGTTGTGGATTCAGGAGTACTGACTTAGAACGGGATGCCTGTGTCAGAGATGAAGGACTTTACCATTCACAGCAATGGCAGTGGCCTGAGTGTCAGCACTTTATCTCATCCATCTCCCAATCGCAGTTCTCTCTAGATGACCCAAAAGGAACAAGATGCCTGCAGACAGAGTAGGCTGGGCTCCAGGAAAGAAAGCCTGCGTTAGAGAAATTGAGCCTTTCATGAGGGGCAGCCAGCAATCGTGCCTGCTTGCTCAAGCTAACTTTGCAACGTGTAAGCACACCTACCCCTTTGTGGTCTGGAACTTTCAAAGGCATAAGAAGTTTTCCACTGTCCTTAGGGAGACGCTATGCCTCTCTTCAAAGGCTGCTCACTTTATAAACACTCTTGGAGTCCAGAACAAAGGCAGCCATTGCCTCTGCCGGCAAGAGGTGTGGAAACATGAGGGACACTCTGAGAATTGTTCTCTAACAAAGACAGTTCCTCCTTGTCAAGATGGTGTGTCTGTTAGATAGCAGCTTCCTTTGTTCTGTGCTGCTCCCCTGACTGCTAGATACTGTTAGGCGCAGGCCTCAGTTCTCAGGGTTCCTCCCCACCCATGCTCTCTTCCTTGGAGAGTTCATTCAGACCCCTGTATTTGAATATCTCCATCCCCATAGCTCTTAGTCCATGCTGGTATATCCCATTCTACTATACTTTGTACTTTGATATTTCTCCAAGTTCCAGAATTTGATGTCCAGTTGCATTCATGGTATCTTCTGGGGTCTCAAACATGCCATGTTCTTTATGTTCGCCCTCCGTATGGAAACGCCATTCCCCCTCTAGTCTCTTAGTCAAGAGCGTTGCCACTCAGTGTTGGGGCCAAAAATGCCTCTTCCTTTCATAGTCATGTCTAATCCTCAAACCCGGTTCATTTCCAAATACATCCTGAATCCCTGTGTCCGAGGGATACAAATCTACAGATTTACCCATAGACTGCGCACATTTTCAGGTGTCACTTTCATTTAACAAATAGATAATTCCCAGGTGCCCAGCCAGGGACTAGAAGCCAGAAACCTCTTCTTTTTCAACCTTGCTTTTGGTTGTTTTGTTTGTTTTACAGTCTTGGTACCAGAAGACACGCATGTGCCTACCAAAGGTTCTGTGTGATCCTCACCCTGGAAGAGTCCTCTAGAAGCAGGGATTCAGAAGCTTGGCTGCTATTATTTCTCTTTCTGCTGCTTCTATTGTGTTGAGACTGTCTTTATTTTGACCTAGTTGTTCTTCATATACTGTGTTTCCAATATATATATATATATATATATATATATATATGTATATATATGATATATATATTTCATATATGTATGAATCCTATACTTGTGAGAAGCAAATCTCATATAATTTGAAAAATAAAACAGTGTTTTGTTCTCCTTAGCCTAACTTCTAATTTGACTGTAAAATAATGTTTATATTTTTCAGAGCTTATTTCAATTCTCTGCAGAGGCTCTAACATGAAAAACAAAAATCTCAGGTATTTTCAGCTTTTTTTTTTTTTTTTTTTTAAGATTCCTTACATTTAGCTTAAACCCTGGCATTTTATTTCACATCCTTCTTGCATTAAAATTGTTTTGAAAACCATGCACTTCAGTTGGTCTTTGGACAGCCCATTGATGACCATTTCACTAAAGACACTAATTTTCCCTAGGATGCAGTAAGACTAATAGAATTGACACACACAAAAATGTCTCCTGCATGACTCTCCCCACCTTCCCCGTGATTGTACACCTGCTTTCCTTATATGGCGAACAAGGAAGTAATCGTGTTGAAGCTGCTTTTAAACCCAGCTTTTCTGCCTTGCCCGTCCAGGTAGCTTCTATTTTCATTTCAATCTTAATGAAAGCTTTCGAATTTACAGCTCAAGTTACTTTTCAAAGCGGTGTAAGTAGCTTCACTTTTTTTTTTTTTTTTCTTACACTGAAAGAAAGACTTTCACGGCCTCCAGCTTTGGTCTTGTAACCCTGGAGGTAATTCATTTTTAATCTGTCTGCACAGTGAAAACTGAACCGAATGGGGATTGAGCTGCTCTGCCTGTTCCTGCTACTTCTAGGAAGGAATGATCGCGTCCAAGGTAAGGCTGAAGCACTCCGGTATATCTCTCTCGTCATCTTATGCTTGACAAACTGTCATTTGCTTCAGAAAGCAGACCTGCAGTCATTTTTCATCTGATCTGCCTGATGGCTCTCTTGCCACAGAGACACTTTAACAAACTATAGGCAGACTTGGGGCATTTCCCCTGGCGAATGTTCTAGGTGCTAGGTAAATAAATACAAAGGTTGCATGGGCATTTTAATGAGGTGAATTAGACAGCCTTCGTGCACAATGGGGCTTCTGAGTGTTATTGTGATAGTCACTTCGGAAGCTTTTCTGTTTTGTTGTATGACAAGGCTGTCCACTTGGGAGTCATATTCTTGAGAATGGAGAAGGATTTTAGAAACAGAAATGCTGAACTTTTAAGAGAAGCCTTTTTAATGGGTACAGGTAAGTTTTTGAAATTAAATGGCAGGTGTTGAATAGGAAAATAAATCAGATAATTTTGCGTTGCTGGGCAGTTAGACGCTGCTGTGGTTTAGGACAAAAGAGAGCTAACTTCTGTTTACATGGTGTATATACTCCCGATGTGATAGGTATAAACTACAAACTTTGACTTGAGTTACTAGCCTTCTGAGGATCCATTTTCTAAACTAAAGTTTGATGTAGCTTTGTTTGAGTAAGAAGCGTTAGACCCATAAGCAGAATGAATGAAAGTGCTTTAACTCCTGGTCTTGCTGGCTTTGCCCTTAGGTGGTTGTGCCTGGGGTGGTGCAGAATCCTGCTCAGACTGCTTGCTCATGGGACCTCACTGTGCCTGGTGCTCCCAGGAGGTAAATCACTGGCCATCACCCTGTTGCCGGACACTGTTTGCACATCAGTTAATGTCCTCAGTGAAAGCCTTTCTCTCTGTGGCGTTTCATGATTAAACCAGATCAAGAAAGGGAACTGAGTGTCAGTGGGTCAAAGTTGTATTCACGTGTATTTTGAAAACAATTTACTGAAGGAATGGATATCAAATTATTTTTTAAAAAACTTAGCTAAGCATCCTTTATTAAATCCAGTGACCTCTCTTAGTTAATTAGTTAATTAATTTTTTTAGTTTTTATTTTTGGGATAGGGTCTCACTACATAGCACTGACTGGCCTGGAACTCACAGAGATATACCTGCTTCTGCCACCCCAGTACTAAGACTAAAAGGGTTCCAGCCATCTGGTTACTTCTCTTGCTTTAAAGGTATTGGTGGCCACGGCGATGATGTTGATAAAGTGAAACAGACATTTAATGTTGCTACAGTGTGGTTCTGTTCCTTCTGGGACCTGAGATCTGTTGTGAGTCTCTGCTAGGTACTTCAAGAAAGGAAAGCTATGATTCATACATCAGGCAATTCTTTTACAAATTACATGTTCATGAACTGAGTGACTCTTGCACAGCAATTGCAAAGCTCTAAAGAAACAGTCTTGTCTGGTCAGAGGGAAAACTGTGTGAAGAGTGGGGACCATGGAGCCTGTCTAACAAGACAGACCAAGTCCCAGCCTGTGCTGTGATGAGAGAGCAATGTGTGAAGGCTCCACACTAAGAAAAAGAGGCCTTTGGCTTTCTGGATCTTAAGTCCCACCCACGGAAAGAATCTACATGCCAATCAATGCTTACAAATGCCAACAAGAGCCTAATAGCATGCTCAAAGGGAAAGGAATCTAGATGCCTGGCTTAGAACTGGGCTGTAACTGTTAGAACCCAAATTCCACATCTGTGGAGGGTTACCTCACAGGCTGGAAAGCATAAACCCCTCCACTGCCTCAAATGCTTAGGCCACAAACAAAATTCAAGGCAATATGCTCTTTTGAGTTCCAATAGCAAATGCAGTGTTGATAATATTCAACAAGAAACAAACCCATATGTTCCTTGGACATTGTCTAGAATACAATATTAGTTTCATGGCAGAGACAAAAATTTCAACCTAGAATTTATGTTTAGGGGTGTGTGTGTGTGTGTGTGTGTGTGTGTGTGTGTGTGTGTGTGTGTGTGTGTCCATATATGTGCTCATGGAGGCTAGGAGAGGGAATTAGATCACCTGGAGCTATAATTATAGGCAGTTGTGGGTTTCCTGATATAGGTCCTGGGAATTTGGGTCCTCTGGAAGAGCAATAAGCATTCTTAGCTGTTGAGCTATCTCTCCAGCCTACTAGAATTCACATTTAAATTCATCTTTACATTAATAAGTGTTTCCTCAGGTGCTAGTGAGAGTTTTCCTTGTAGCTGGCCAAGTGATCATCAAGTATTAAGGCCAGATCATTGTAGAGGCCTCTCCAATAATAGAAACAGTCATTAGTACATCAGCTGTAGCAGACAGCTGTGGCTATTAGAGCAAAGAATGAACAAAGCTTAGAGCATACACAAACTGCTTCTGCAGTTCACACCACCTCTGTTCTTTTGGCAAAGGCTAAACACAGCTGATAGCCATTGCAGTGTGTTAGGAAGGATTCTGAGGCCTCTCGTCTGGCCTCTGTTTGCCTTTGTTACATCATGGGAAGTTGCAGTTTCCCATACCCAGGCTACAGCCACAAATCTGAACAGGTCTGATTGGCAAGTAACAAATTACATTTTCTTTCTTGGTTTTTCGAGACAGGGTTTCTCTGTATAGCTTTGGAGCCTATCCTGGCACTCGATCTGGAGACCAGGCTGGCCTCTAACTCACAGAGATCCACCTGCCTCTGCCTCCTGAGTGCTGGGATTAAAGGCATGCGCCACCAACGCCCAGCAACAAATTGCATTTTCAAGAGTCCATTTTAGAAGAAAAGGTGCTTTCCAAGTTAGTGAAAAGAGAAGGCATGGCTTAGAATCCTAAGGGGCAAAGAAAAGATATGAGCAGTTGGTTTTTAATAAAAGATATGAGCATTAGTTCAGTTCTTAGTAAAAGACATGAGCATTAGTTTGGTTCTTAGTAAACACCAAACTGGCCTCCATGAGCCCATCACACACACACACACACACACACACACACACACACACACACTTCCCAAGTGCCTCAGTTCAATTTTGCCTATGGTCAGTTCAGCTGGGGAACCACTTTGCCTGTCAGTAGCGCCTGCTCTGTTCTTATGTTGGCTCCATCTCCCTGCTTTGGGTGCTGTAAAGTTGGAGTAGCTGAATCCCTGCTAGGCCCTACACCCCTCAGCCTCCTATCTGGATGGAACAGAAGAGCTAGGATTTTCTGGAATCCCAGACAGAGTAAAGAGTACAGACTTTAAACCATCCTCTCTTTCAACCTCCAAGCCTGGGAGAAAGCTCTAAGAGACCTTGAACTGGAATCCTTTAAGACACTGAGCTTCAAGTCCTTGAGAGGTCAATTTCAGCAAGTGTTGCTGTAATCAAAGGGACTACATCAGCGAATAGAACCAGTTGAGTGCCAGTCCGGGAGATGTCAGGTGATCCGTCCTTTAGGAATCCACAGAAAACATCTCTCTGTGTTTGGTGACAGACATACAATGCATGACAGTCCTAGGAGTCCAGGAGCCAATCATTCATCCTGAACAAATAAATTCACAGGAAACAGTCAACTTTGGGTACTCAGTCATTTTAAAGATTTACTCAGTTCATGGGAGAAACTTCAAAGCATGGGCTTTGAAAAAAAAAAAACAAAAACAAACAGATGAATTTGATTGAGTATCATTAAAAAGAGGCTCCAGTTTTACTAAAAATTTTACTGGCCAAATTCTCCAGTTATTGATGTTACTCCACCTGCCAATCACTACCAGTCTCATGGGGGTCTAAGGTACTTAGCATATATTAATCTCACAAAACACATACAAAAATTAAGGCGTGGAATGTTACCAGGAGATGCAGATTTGTCTTCTTCTCCTCTTTATGATTTTTCCCCTTTTAGAATTTTACCCACCTGTCTGGAGCTGGCGAAAGGTGTGACACCCCAGAAAATCTCTTGGCCAAAGGATGTCAATTACCCTTCATCGAAAACCCTGTCTCCCAAGTGGAAATCCTTCAAAATAAGCCTCTCAGCGTAGGCCGACAGAAGAATAGCTCTGACATTGTTCAGATCTCTCCCCAAAGCTTGGTTCTTAAATTGAGACCAGGTATGGAATGATCGGTTTCCTAGCATTATGTCTGTGACTTGCTGCCCACTAATCCCACTAGCGCCCAACACACATCATTGGTTATTGGGATTCCTATTCCCCAATCTGAAGAAAATGGGGAATTACTACGATTCCTCTTCATGCACTCCAAAAGTGTCACTGAAGACAGCTTCTCTAGCGGTGAGTGTTCGAATTACTCAAATGTCGCCCATATCACTGCACATTTCTTCAAGGACTGAAATGTGGATTTGATCTCCCTTTTATTTGGTTCAACTTTTCTAAAGCCATGCACACAAAAACACAGCTTATCTTTCATCTAAATGGATGCTACTTCTCCCAAGGAGATATAAAATATCTCGACATACACCTCCTTCAGCCCTTCAAAACTCACCACTGAGAGATTTGCAAGGATGTGTTCATTTATAAATGCTACCGCACACTTCATGAGATTGCATGCACCTTAATAAGGTCACACTGAAATAGAGTAGCCAGCTAGTTTAAGATTGGTTCATTACAAGTAACTGCTGTGTTTATAGATTTGCCTTTCTCGTGGGTCATTTCAGGTGGCGAGCAGACTCTGCAAGTACAAGTACGACAAACGGAAGATTACCCAGTAGATCTGTATTACCTCATGGATCTCTCGGCCTCCATGGATGACGACCTCAACACAATCAAAGAGCTGGGTTCCCGGCTTGCCAAAGAGATGTCTAAATTAACCAGCAACTTCAGACTGGGCTTTGGCTCTTTTGTGGAAAAGCCCGTTTCTCCTTTTATGAAAACAACACCAGAGGAAATCACCAACCCTTGCAGGTAAGTAAGTGAACTCCCTGGCATCCCTGGGCACTGGTTTCTACAGATGTTATCCACGCCCAAGCTGCTGTGCCAGGAGCCTGTCAACACCCTGGCATTTCTGTCTTGTGTTGGGATCTCAGCAATTCTCTGTGGTCTAGGTAGTTTCCGTCAAGGTGGGGTCATCATAACTTCATGGTTCAGCCCACAGACCCTGCATCATCTGCCAGGGTTGCAAGTCAGGATATAGCCAAGTAGGTTTCCTGCTTGCGGACAAGGAGACTTTGTCTTTCACTGTCGGCTACACAGGCCACACATACCGGTCCCTCTGAGATCTTCAGTCCTCAGTGACCACCACTTTCTAGGGCTATTTGATATGAACCTACATTTCTTCTGAGTCTTTCTGTCAAAATAACTATTTTTGAAGCTTTCTCTGACGCACTTTGGGAAATGTGGCTTCCTCTCATTTCAGAGAGAAGACGCCTTCTCTGCAATTAAACTCAACAGGAAATGAGGCAGTGACCCTATTATAAAATGCTATAATCAGCCATTAAAACTATGTATTATACAGATGATAGTCAAGGGCAAATTGCTTTGTGATGGCTTACCTGTATGGTCAATGACATGTTCAAAATCAAGCAAGTTATTTAATATTCTCCCACCGAAAAGGAGCTGCCATTTGCTGCATGCCAGCCTCTTATGCAGAACATTTCATATACATGATGTCATTCCATCTCTATAATGATGGAAGGTTAAAGCTGGTCTCGTTGAGTCCTGTACTCAAAGGAAATGACAAAGAACTCAAAGAGGTCAGCAAGTTACCCAAGGGCACATGATTAAATGAGATTCGTGGAAAGATCTGGTTTGATTCAAAGAATTAACTGCATTAACTTTATACTACAATCTCTCTCTTTTTCTCTTTCTCTCCCCCCCCTCTCTCTCTCACACACACCCCACACAATTTCCCAAATGTACATAAGCATTTGATATCTTAATACATCAAATGGAGCAGCATCTATAAGAAGCAAATAATGTTATTTCCGTTTAGAGGTTTAGTATAGTTCTCATAAGCTGGGTGGTAGCGGCACATGCCTATAGTCCAAGAACCTGGGAGGCAGAGGCAGGTGGATCTCTGAGTTCAAGGACAGCCTATTGTGCAAAGCAAGTTCCAGGACAGCCAACACTACACAGAGAAACCCTGTATTGAAGAAGGAGAAAGAGGAAAAGGAAGAGGAGGAGGAAGAGTTATTATAGTTCTCAACTGTAATTTGACATAGCCAAACAATTTTACTCTGAAAGTAAATTCTTACTGATTCTAATTCTCAGAAATTTTGTTTGGTTGCAAGTCACAGAGAGACACTGGCTTAAAAGGAGGATTGTTTCTCTCTCCTCCACTGGAGAAGTGCAGTTCAGGGCTGGCTTAGTGCTCCACACATAGGAATCCAAGACTTTCCTGCTGTCTGTCTGTCATGGGTTTTGTCTTCATGGTCCAAGAAGCCTGCTGGGGCACTAATCATGTCTTCATCCCAGGAAGAAAGGGAGGGAAGTAGGCAGATCAATAAAGATCTAATTGGAATGCTCTAAAAAATCACACAGCAAACAATGCTGTTTGATGAGTTTGGTGATTGAATGGACCAAAATAATCAACATTCCAGACTGGTCTTCTTCTTGGAAGGATTCTTCATGGCCTGGTCTAGTCAGTTCTGCCTCCTCAGAAGCAACCGCTTTCTGATTTCTATTGTTTAGATTGTGTTTGTCTGTTCTTGGCTCTCATATAGATGTAAGAATGTGTAGTATGCACTCGTCATGCCTGGCTTCTTTATTTATTTATTTTTTAAACATTTTATTGATTCTTTGTGGCTTTCACACCTTGCATCTTGATCCCACCCATCTCCCTGTTCCCTTGACTTCAGCCTTTGCCCCTGCAATCTCCCTCCATAAAATAAAATGAAGTAAATTTTAAAAGAAAAGAAGAACAAATAAATAAATATTTCTTCTGTTTTTTCTCCATTTTTTAAATTTAAATTAGAAACAAGATTGTTTTACATATCAATCCCAGTTCCCTCTCCCTCCCCTCCTCCCCTGCCGCCCACTAACACCCTACCTATCCCATACCATTGTTGCTCCCCAGGGAGAGTGAGGCCTTCCATGGGGGGGGGAATCTTCAGAGTCTGTCATATCCTTTGGGATAGGGCCTAGGCCCTCCCCAGTGTGTCTAGGCTGAGGGAGTGTCCCTTTATGTGGAGTGGGCTCCCAAAGTCCATTCCTATGTTAAGGATAAGTACTGATCTACTACAAGAGGCCCCATAGATTTCCGAGGCCTCCTCACTGATACCCATTCATGAGGTCTGGATCAGTCCCATGCTGGTTTCCCTGTGATCAGTCTGGGTGCCAAGAGCTCCCCCTTGCTCAGGTCAGCTGTTTCTGTGGGTTTCACCAGCCTGGTTCTGACCCCTTTGCTCTTCACTCCTCCTTCATAAATATTTCTTCTTGGAACTAGTGTTGCACAGTGAGTCACAGTATACTCTTTAGTCCATATTTACTTTATTTGCAGTCTTTACATTGCAATGAGTCATTTGTCTGGTTCTAGGCCTCTGGTTTCTGCTGCACTATCAATACTGGGCCCTCACTGGGACTCCTCTTGGAGTCCTCTGTTGTGGAGATCCTGCAGCTTTGGGTCTGCAGGACAGCCCCTTCATGTGCCCCAGCAGATCATAGATGGAGTGGATGTTGGGATGAGTCAACTCATAGCTCTAGTTTCTGTACCTGGGTAATAGCTGAGATGGTCAACCCACCAATTCTTCCCCATCCTCACCACCAGGGTGAGCTCTTCAGCACTGCCCCCAGCTAGTTCACCCTTGCAACAAGGAGCAAAGTGTAGGGCCTGTTCTCCTGCTCTCACCCCTCAGGGCCAGCTCACCCACACCTTCACCGGCAGGACAAACACAGTGTTGCCCCGGTTAAGTGAGTGCAGGGGCCACTCTCCCAAGTGTTGCAGGTGGCGAGGGGCAGGGCCAACTCTCTTGCTCTCAGGTGGCAAGGGGCAAAATGGGGAAGACATCTTTCCCTTACCCTGGATACCATACGGCAGACGAGGGAGGTGCGACAAGCTCTCCCACTCTCACCTCAGAGCCAGTGCACCCGTGCCTCTGCCAACAGGGTCAGCTCTACTATGCTGCCTAGGTGAGGTGCCGGGCCTGCTCTCCCAAGTGCTGCAGCCAGTGAGAGGCAGGGACAGTTCTTCCACTCTCATGCTCCCAGGGGCCAGCTCTCCCAAGTGCTGCAGGTGTAGAGGGTTGAGGGGCAAGGCACAGGGCATTTCTCTAGCGCCCATGCTACCACATGACAGACAAGCAGTGGGGCCCTTGCTCTTCCTTGTTCATGCCCTGGGGCCAGCTCACCTATGCCTGGTATCTGGCTTCTTTTGTTCAGCAAACTGCTTTTAAATGTCTTTATGACTTTGTTGTGCATATCAGCAGTCTGCTCCCCCTGTTTAACACACAGCCCTTTACAGATCTGCTACAGTTTCTTTATTCATTCTTCCACTGATGTATAGTTAGGTTGTTGCCACATTCTGGACACTGTAGAAAATGTTGGTATAACCACTTGCATATAAAACTTTACAAAAGATGTATTTTTTATTTCTCTTAAATGCATAGATAGATTTGTTGAATTGTATAATTTTTTTAATTTCAAGAAACTACCAGACTCTTTGCAAAGTAGATGTGCTACCTTTTATTTCCAAGAACAGTTTGTAAGGTTGCCATGTGATCCACATCACCATCATCATCAGTGGACCATGGTGTCAGTAGGATTAGAATTACCACATTTTCACTAAAGCATCAGTTCTTTTCATTTTAGATGTTCTGATGAGTTTGTCATGTTGTTGCTTTTATTTGTGTTTATTGAGGACTGATGTTGAACATCTTTTCATGTGTTTATTTGTCCTAATGTCATATTTTGTGAAATATCTTTTTAAACCTTTTAACCATCTAAAAATTTTTGATTGTATTATTAATATTGTTTTGTATGGGCTCTTGTTTTGTGTGTCTGTGCACCATGTGTGTCTTCGGAGTCCAGAAGGAGGATTCAGAGCCCCCAGAACTAGAGTTGCAGATGGTTCTGAGCTGTTCACTGAGTGGATGCTGGTAACAAACCTGGGTCCTCTGCAAGTGCTCTTAACTGTTGAGCCATCTCCCATGTCCCCTCGTTATGTATTTTAGATACAACTTTGTCCAATTTGTTTCTGAGATATTCTTACCAGTTTGTAGCTTGTATTTTAATTTACTAACAATGTTGTTTTTTAAAAAAAAATTTTTGATGAAGATCAGCCTATCAGTTTTTAATTTTGTAGGTTTTTGTTGTTGTTGTTCTGAGAAACATTGGCCTCTTCTAAAGTGATAAAAATTTCTTCCATACTTTCTTTTTTCTTCTATGTCTTCTTATAGAAACTTTAAGATTAAAGGTCTTCCATTTAGACCTGTGATCACAACCAAATGAATTTTTATATTGAGAATGAAAAACGTTGAGAGTTATCCATCTTTTGTTTCCACGTGGAATTGGTGATTCTAGAACTATTTGTTAAGCAAGACTTTCCACATTGAATTGGCTTGGTGTCATATGAGTCTAAATGTAGACATTCATTTCTCTTTCATTGGTTCTGTCACTCTGGATCAGGGAACAGCACATGCCTCAGTTTTGCTTGCAGTAGCTTTATAAAAAGAGAAATCAGGAAAGTAAGTCCTCCAATGCCGTCCTTTTGGTTTTCCTAACTTTGCACCCGCATAGATTTTTAGAATCAATTTATCAATGTCTCTGAAAAAAATATGTTGAGATTTTAAAAGAGACTGTAATGAAACGGTAGATCAGTTTGGGGAAAGTGGACCTCTTAAGCATCTTGAACTTTCTGGTCATTTCATGTAACAGGTATATCTGCTTCCTTTAATTCTTGTTATATGTCTCTGAGAACCACTTCACTGTTTTCATTGTACAAAAAGAAAAACTTTCACTTTCTTCTGTCT